GCAGTGTAGACTGGGGTAACCACTATGGAAATCAGTGTGGAGATTCCTCAAAATACTAGGATTGGAGGTCCCATCTGACCCAGCTATTATCCTACGGGTAACTTCCTAGAAGAATTAAGAACATCATACCACAGCAATATATGTGCATCCATGTTTATAGCAGCACCATTTGTAATAGCTAGATCTTGGAAACAACCCAAATGTACATCAACTGAGGAATGGATAAAAAAGATGTGGTCCTTTTATACAATGGAGTGCTACTCAACCATAAAGAAGGATAAACTTGAGACTTTTATAGGTAAATGGATGCAACTCGAAACCATACTCTTAAGTGAAATTAAACCAGATACACATATTGTCTCCCTAGTGTAAGAAGCTGAAAGAGTAAATAAGATCCAAAATGTACAACAGATATTGTAAAATGGGAAGAAACTGTTCAAAAGGAAAGAGAAACTGGGATGGGGAAAAGGAGAAAAGGAAAGGAAAAGAAAAAAAAAATATATATATATACAAGCTAGTTAAGATAGTTATACTACCAATTTCTCTTAGTTAATTGAAAAGAAAGGTTTGTGATAATATCGTTTGGACAATTAAATGCTGACATCTTGTACCCAGAGAAACTAATTTAAAGATGACAATACGCAATGTATTAACCTAGATGTTACGCTCCTATGATCTTATTTTGAAATTTTATTTTTTTCTCTTTAAAAGTAAGTGCTGAGCATCAATTCCAAAGATCTGAATGGGGCTGGAGATTTACCTCAGCAGCACAGTGCCTGCCTGGCAAGCGCAAGGTCGTGAGTTCAATTCATGGCACCGGAAGAAAAACAAAACAAAACAAACAAACAAAAAAAAAAATCAACCATCTGAATGGGGTGGGTCTTTTTAAATTAATAATTTTCTGTTAATTCCCAAATCTGAAATGTGTGGTCCAGCTGATATAACACTATCAGATGATAGGGCCTGGCATATAGCTCAGCAGCACAAGCGCGTGTCTGGCAAGCACAAGATCCTGTTTCAATTCCCAGTACCAAAAAAAAAGACAAAAAAGCTATCAGATGATAGCTTAAATGGTATAGTTCTTTTTAGGTAGAAGGTCTTCCCTCTCAGCATTCACATCTACTGACAGAACTGTCCCCAAGTTTGCATCTTAGGATGAAGCAATATATAAACTCAAATGAGGCCAGATCTTTGAGTAGTTCAGTCACCCATGTACAGCTCTATATAAAGGAAACATTCTAAAAACTATTAAAAATTAAAATCCAAGTTTGAAAAGTGCACCACCAACAAAAGGTTTTTAATGTTAAGTTTAAGATTAAAGGCAAAAGCCAGGCGTGGTGGCTCATGCCTATAATCCCAGCACTCAGGAGGCTGAGGCAGGAGGACTATTGCAAGTTCAAGACCAGCCTAGGCTACAAAGTGAGCTCAAGGCCAGCCTGAACTGCATAGCGAGACCCTGTCTCAAAAAAAAAGACAAAAAAAAAAGATTAAGAGCAAAGTAGAAAAGCCTCCAAATAAAGTTTAAATGTAAGCCCCCCACCCAGGACAGGTAATCAAACCAGGGCCAGGGCCATGTGCTCTTCCATAGAGCTACCTCCCCAGCCCTAGATGTAGTCTTTTAATTATAACATTTTCCTAAGTTGAAATATGTGGTCCAGCTGACACGACACTATCAGATGATAAGGAAACTTTGAGATTCTATCTCCTCCTCTATCAAGGAACTTGGTGTTGCCAAATTATTTAATGTTGCCAAAATTAAAATAAAATTCTAGCATCTAAAATTACCTAATTCTGAGTAAACAGATTTTTCTACTCAGAAAGCAACTTAACACTTCAATTTTTGATATTTTTGAACCAAAAATAGATTCCATAAAGGACTTCTCTTGCATGTGGATACACTTCTTCTTAAATGCAAGTCATTATTTAACATCAATTTATTATATGAAAAAGTCATATCCCTGCCCTAAATGCCAAAAATACAGTACTATACTAGCATACCTTCTGAGACCTAGAGTAAAGAGGATAGCCACCAAAGTTCTAAAAATGGAAGGAGGAACAAGGTAAAATTTTAACCGACATACTGAAGAAAACATATTTTCCTTGCTCACATCTTTACAAATTCCCTCCAGCCCATTTCTCAGCTATAGCTGAATTTTCTATCACAAAGTAAATTTAAATGTAAATCATAATCAAAGGTTAACTTTCTGCAAGAGAAGCCACTGTCATTTTGAACAATGCAACTATTGTTGAGAGTCTCACACAGATTCTTGGTCATGGTGGTAAAACAAGGCTAGGGGGAAAACAGCTACTTAAAGGAATTTCTCCACCTCTGTATTTTGGGTTGTAATATAAGAATAGTGCAACCTTCAAAATAAAAATGCCATGTAAAATCTGGTTCTCATTAAATGAAACTGCCTTATCCCCCCCATGTACCATATTTGGAACAGAATATATCTGACTCGCCATCAGTCAACCTTCTCTTACTCATCTGTGTGAGATAGCCCTGCAATTTTTTTCACTGGGAACCTTTCCTTTTAAAACCCCAGGGAATAATGTAGATGCCACACTGATTTAAATAACTCCAAGAACATTAAAATGAAAACAATGGCAGATTTAGTTAGGAAACTTACATAAGTAGAAATAAACCCGAGTGAAGAGGTAAAAAAACAGCCCTACCACAAGTACCTAATCATGAATAAAACTGTTAAGACTGAACAGAGAAAAAAGTAATGCTCTGTGCAGAATATTTCTAATTGTTTTTAATAAATCAAATTTTGTTCTCAAAAAATTCAATTTAGGAAATATGCTAATTAGGACACTAAGCTGTTTTTCTATGTACCTATACCTCAAATTAACCACTGCAGTGATTATTCTAAAAGGGCAAGACAGTTGAAAGGGATTTATACCCCTTTCAATTGAGGTCACCCCCGTCCCAACTACTGTAAAATGGCAGTTTATTTAATACTCTTGGAATGGTTAACTTTATTCTGTATGCCTCTTTTGGAGTTCTATTATTTAATACAGTCAAACGGAATGGTTGTGGGATTTTTTTTTTTTTCCTAACTAGGTTTCCTTGTACTTGTGAAATGCTCAGCATACACAGTGCTGGCAGCTTCAGTTCCACAGCCTCTCTGATCTGACTCCTCCCCTCACCCCCCAGCACCCCCCCAAAAAAAGATTTCCTTCCCAAATGTTCTCCTCTCTGCATTTGTCAACAGAAACACCCACTGGTGGTGTCAAACTGGTAATACTGCTGCAGGCTTCTACTCTGGCTCCAGTGTCAAAGCCAAAAATGCTCAAACCTAAAATAGTACTTGTAATAAAAACAAAACAAAACAAAAAAAGGTTTGCTAGATATTAAATATATGCTCGAAAAGAGGTACATCTTTTAAAATTGTATTATTAATGAACCTAATTGAGTTGTTAAATATAAGATTATTCTCTTTCCTTCAACACCAAACACACAGGGATAAATACACATAGCCTCTTCACATTTTATAAATAACATATTTTAAAACACTTAAAGGAATTAAAAACACCTAAATACCATTCACGTGTAATTCCCAACACTATCGGTTAAAACGTCTTTTTTGTAACCCTACAGCAAGAACGAACAAGGTGGAAATGTTCCAGCAGATGTTACCTAAAACGATAATCCTGTATTATACATATTTATGGGTCCTGTTTCAGCCCAATGCTCTCAGACAAATTGATTTGTGTAATCTTTTACATTAACTACATAACCGTTACATTCAAACAAACCTAAATCGGGATGCACGAAAGAAATTATTCTGTGTCAACAATACTTTCTAAAATCAGCTTGAATTTCAGCCAATTGAAATAAATTGTTAACAAAATACTGATCTGCAACTACTTAAATATCACAGCATCCGTCTAATCTCTGTAGAGATACTAAGGTCAGGCTTTTCTTATTCAGGCATCTGTGCTGTAATACTCAAGTGAAGCGAAAAACAAAACCCTCAAGGAAGAGCTGCCTCTACACCGAAATATGCTCAGGTTATTTTTTACCCCAACGTGGGCACAAAACGTGTCAATGCGAGAAGGACCTGCTCGTTCTGGGAGACGGTTTCAATCCCCAGGATTCGATTTCTGTAAGGGTCCAAAGGGTATGAAGACCTGAGAAGGGGCCAATTTCTGCTCCTCCCGGCCAATGCCAGTCGTGAACTTCACAGCAACGCCCGAAACTTGTTCGAGGAAGGCTGCAGGAGCCGCGGCGCTGGGCGACAAGTCGCTCGCCCACCCTTGCGGGCAGCCAAGGTCAGGAGGGCCGGGGCCGCCACTAGAAGCCCCCAGCGGGTCGCGGGCTGTCCCGAAACTGGGAACTCGGGCGGGGGCTCCGGCGCCCCAGCCCCTCCTCAGCGCCGGCAGAAAGGGGCTCCCCTCGCCGCAAGCCCCGGGGAGTCGCGCCGCGAGGGCGACGGGGCGGGGACGCCGCAGCCACGCCGCCGAGGGGAGTCCCGCGGAGCGGCCTCGACCCGTCGCCCCTCTTCCACACTCCACTTCTTCACACCCTAAGACCCAGCCCAGCCTCCGGGGAACCCCTTCCGAAGGCGCACAGGCTCGCCGCGGAGGGGCCACTCCAGATTGGGACGCCCTCCCCGCGTCGCCCCGTTCAGGACGGACCGGCGCCGCCGCCCCTTCTCTTGTTCGCCCGAGGGGATCGGGTGGGTCCCCTCTCCCGGGAAAAGCTGGGTGGACACGGGGCCGAAGTAAGGGGAAGAAGGGCTGCGGGCGGGCGCGGTCACTCACCCTGCCGAGTCCCCCACCTCCAGCCGGGGACCCCTCAGCTCCTGAGGCCGCTGTCGCTGCTATACCTTCCCCAGTGGCAGCGACAACTAATCGAAACCTCCGGCCCCGCCCTCTCGCAGGAGCGAACGCGCAGCCTAATTTGCTAATTGTACCGCCCCGGCCTGCCCATTCAGACCAATAGGAAAGCTCCTCGGGCCCCGCCCGGTCCCGCCTCAGCCCCGCCCACTTACGGTAGGAGCCAATGCTAAGATAATGCTCGTCCGTGCGCTCGGGCTCGCGCGCTCCGCCCGCGCTGCTCGTTCTCGAATCCCCGAACTCCAAGAATGCTCGTCTTCTGTACAAGCTCGCCTGCGCGCGCACACGCGCGCCGCGCTTCCCCGCACACCAGGTTTGGTTGCCCCGCCAGGCCCTAGCAACCTGGGCTGGGAGGGTGGGAGGGGCGGGGCCGGGGCCGCTAGCTGACGCGGGGGGGAGGGGCAGGGGAAGATCGTGACTGAGAAGGGGGTGGCTGCGGGGGTGGGGAGGGGGAACGAGGAGACCCGGAATCCGCCTGTCACTGCGGAAAAAAAAAGGGGGGAAATCCTGCCTGCGGCGCAGCTATCCTAGCCTCCCTCTGCAGAGACCCGTGCGGCGTGGAGGGAGGGGACGGCGAGGACCGGGAAAAGGGAGAGCGAGCGCACGTTTAAGGCGTGAACCGAAGCACTGCTTGCAAATAAAGGATGGATGGTTTTATCTCTGTTGTTGGTAAAATGCTATCAAAGTCCATTGCTGTGGCTGCCTAACTGTTGCAGTTTCACGTGCAAACACACACACACACAGTCACAGGGACACTCATACAGCAGCCTGCGATCCCTTGGGTGAGTTAGGAGCAAAAAACTAGCAGCCTGAGGATTCCTTACACAGCAACTGAGCGCATGCAAAGGGCTGCTGCAGCAACCCACAGCTCTACTTCGGTCCGATGCTCTGCCACACAAGATCCCCGGGCTGGCGCTGGCGAGAAAGCAATGAAGTCATCGTCCGGCCGGTAGAAATTTGAAGATCTTAATAGGATCAGTTTGCGATGAAGATGGAGAGGTGACGAAATGGAGGGAGATACATTTTCAGTGCCACTTTTGGAAAATCAAGAAAAATAATAATTTTATGCAAAACCATTGCAAACACATCTGTGTAGAGCTGTGGAATGATTTTTTTTTTTTACTTTAAAAAAAAGCAAAGAGGAAAAATAGGGTGTTTTCTGGATTTTTAGAGAAAGCACAGAAAATAGGCAATGTATGAGGTCCCAGCAGCCACCCAATCAGAAATATGCAGTGTTTTAATAGGATATAGATATCTTGGATAAAATCCACTTAATCTATTGCTACCTTGAATCTGGTAACAATATGTAGCAAACATCTGGGTTTGGTCACTTAACGCCAAGCCAATAAGGTTTTCTTTTTTATAACAGTGAATATTTGATGAGGAAATGAAGATACCTGCTTTCTCTTCACCTTTCCTGGGATTGTTAGAAAATGATACAGGTAAGAGCGGTGAATTAGCAGTGAGGGAAAATGGAGTCACAGGCAGCAGCAAAGGGCTTTGCAGTTCAGTTGATTCCTCTTTTGAGCAAAAAATAATAATGATAACCATTCTAGGTTAGTAAGAGTTTTAAGAATACTGTGCTGTCGTGTAACAATGTCTTTTCTTATGTGGAAAGAACACTAATATCACTGAAGGAACAGCTCCTCTGTGCTGAGAATTCTACATACATTTAGAGCTGCCAGATGAATTACAGGACATCCCATTAAATTTGCATTTCAGATAGACAATGATTAATTTCTTTAGAAGACTAAAGTAAGCCTTCTGATCATTGTCCAAAAAAAAATGTATTGCCAGGCATGGTGTCATATGCCTATAATCCTAGCACACAGGAGGCTGAGGCAGAAGGATCACTGGGAGTTCGAGACCATCCTAGACTACATAATGAGTTCAAGACCAGCCTGCACTACAAAGCAAAACCCCGCATCAAAAAAAAAAAAAAAAGATTATCAAAGGCCTTCTGGGCCTAGACTTCCTAATGCAATGAGGATTGTAGAAGAAAAGCTTAAAACCAAACCCATGTGTAAATTTGTAGTATTCGTAGAAAGAGGTAAACATATTTATACTATTATCTGCTGTTTATTTGAAATTCAAATTTAACTAGACATTCTCTATTTTTGTTTTGTTTTTTGAGACAGGGCCTCGATATGTAGTTCAGGCTAGCCTTGAACTCCTGGCAATCCTCCTGCCTCAGCCTTCCAAGTGCTGGGGTTATAGGCATGCACACCAATATCCTCTATTTTTATTTGTTTAGTCTGACAACCTGATAATGTTACATATTATCTCTAGTCCTCACAATTCTCTGCAAGATTCTTTCCATTTTCTAGATAAAGAACCAGCTACAGAGCCTCCTCAGCAACTGTTTGCTCCTTCCCCCTTATAATGGATCCCCCAGTGCGTTCAGGTATCCAGCCACTTCCCACTTCCAGGGACTGAATCCCAGTTAGTCTCAGTCAGCCCAGGTGTGGCTTGATTAGACTGAAGGAAAGAACTTAACAGTCCATGGTTTGGGAGACGTTTTTCCCTGTCTGTTCCTCTGGATGAACAAGGAAGCAAATACCCCAGTTGCCACTGGCAGCTATTTTGTGACCAAGAGGAAAACCAACCTTAGGTCAAAGTCTGCCTACTCAGTAAGGCAGAGCTAAAAACTAAAACAAAACAACAACAACAACAAAAAAAAAAAGCAGAAAAAAGACCCATTGGGTCTCTAATGACACCAGTGACTTGCCTAATTAAACATACTCTGCCTTTGCCTTATGTTTAAAACATTTTGAGTTAGAGTTTCTATTAGATGCCACAGAAGCATCCTGCTAAGATGTCAGAACCCATGAGTGCTACTCCTTCTGGCTCTCAATAATAAATAAACAAGTGGTAATCAAAATACAAGACATTTTATCCTGGTTATATGTGGGACAAGATTAGAAGACTAAATGAGCCTTCTATTCATTGATTGCCAGAAAGCATTTATGAAATGCCCATCTGGGCCTAAACTTCATCATGCAGTCAGCACCTGGGAGAAAAGCAAAGAATCAAATCAATGTGTAAATGTGTACTGTTTGCAGGAAGAAGTAAGTATTACTAATTCCTTGGCCCTGCTCAGAGCGTACATCAGACGGTCAGTTCTTATGTGGTTTCATTTAAAGTTTATACCATTTGGGAAAATGTCATTTTAGAAATTCAAGTCCTGTACCTCATTTAAAACTTTTAAAGCCTTGATCCCCTGTCATCCAGGCACTAAGCCTACCCACAAACAGTGTGGAAAGAACAAAAATGTAGCCCTCAATGCTTCCAACTGATTTTCTTCTGCACCTTGAACAAACCTTAAATTGCAGTCATGTCTTTTAAAAAATTTCCAAGACACTGTTTCTCTGGCCAAATGAATGAGCTGTACTGCTCACAGTACAGTAGCCACCACAATCACAGACATTGGCAGTTGGCAAGGGAGATATAAATAGTAACCGAATCCTAATGCCTTGTATGAATTTGGCAGTAGGAGGTAAATAAAAACATTATTGTCTGTTCTTTATTACAAAGAAAAACAGGAAGGGAGGAAGGGAGAATAGCAGGGAGGGAGAGAGGAAGGAAGGAAGGAAGGAAGGAAGGAAGAAAAGAAAGAAGGACCATGAAAAGACCCAAGAAAGAAAACCATGTTAGAACAGAATGCTGTATAATAGTGGTTTGTCACAGTGGCAGTAGAGCTTAGTAGCTAAAGCCATGAAGTCAGGAGCCAGGTTGCCTGGATTCAAACGCTAGCTCTAGTTATGTCCTTGTATAAATTGGTCGACTTTCCTGTGCCTCAGTTTCCTCTACTATAAAAGGGGGGTGTTAAAGGTGATAACGGTGTTGTAGTTTCCTCTTTGCTCTCTCTCTGGAGACACTAAATAGGAGGAAGCCAGCTGTACATTGTGAGGACACTCTCAAGATGCTCCATGGAGAGGCCTGTGGAGTGAGACACTGAAGCCTCCTGCCAACAGCCGTGTGAGTTCGCCATCTTGGAAGCAGATCCTCCAGCCTCAGTCAAGCCTTCATGACTGCAGCACCCGCTAACATCCTGGCTGCAGCCTCATGAGAAACCCTGAGCCGAAACCACCCAACTAAGCTGCTCCCAATTCCTGATCCATTGAAACTGTGAGGTGACACATATTTGTCTGAAGATACTAATTTGGGGTAATTTTGCTGTGCAACAGTGGTAATTAATACGAGTGGATCCTTCCTCCATTTTACACGTGATAGTTTAGTAACCTGCCCGACTCCCTGTCTTTGACTGCAGAAGCCTAACTCTTTGTTTGCTTGTTTTTCCTTTTCATCAGATACGGTCTTGCTATGCAGCTCAGGCTGCCCTTAAATTCACTATGTATCTGGGGTCAAACTCGCAGTGAGCCTCCTGCCTCAGTGCTGGGATTACACGTGTGTACTAGCGTGCTTGGCTCCAGAAGCCTCTTAACCAAAAAGCCATATACTGTCAGCAGTAGAAACCACTTATGGAACATTACTATGTGCCAGAAACTTTCCTTATATTGTCTCACTGACTCCCACAACACCTCTGTAAGGAAGACTTCTTTCTGCCTTTCAAAAGGGTCAGGGTAAAGTTATTATCTTCTTATGGGAATCACGTGATAATGATGTGTATGAAGGCGTAAGAGTAAGGCATCACTGTGGTCCATTTCATTCCGGTCCCTTGCTGCCTTGCTTGGCTCAAGTACAAGGTGGCTTGATAAGCATCCTACTAATTTCCCTTCCTCAAAGGGCTCTGACAGTTTAAAATGACCCCAAATGACACCTTTCCCTTGAATATATGCAAATATACTGAGATGTAATATAGTGTATTTTACCTTATCTCGAGATTTTAATTAAAAAAATGGAAAAACATTTTTAAAACACAGCATTTAATTTGTATAGGAAATAAATGAGTTCATAGAGTGTAAGTCCTAAAAAATAATAAAATGGCTGTGCCTTTCATTTTCTAGTCTTAATATCAGACCTGATTCAGTGAAGTTTTACAGGCTTTTTATAATGCACCTTGGAATTCTGGGACAGTTAAATAAAAATACACACCATGAAAAAGATATTGATCTTGCTTCTTCTTAAATCCATGACGCAATCCTTGCTCATTTAAAGTTTTCTAATTAATCATTAAAATGACGTTGGGCTTGAGGGTGTACTCCCAGTTGGTACCTACACGATGTAAAGGAAAGTGGAGAGTGAATCAAGAAAAATCGCTACTGTCAGGAGGCTGGAGATGGAGCTCGGTGGTAAGGAGAATGCTTAGTATGTGTGAGGACCTGGGTTCTATCTCCAGTCCCAGAGGAATGAAAAAATTACTGTAATTAGGAGGAGGTAGGCAGTGGTGGCTCATGCTTATAATCCCAGCACTCAGGTGGTTGAGGCAGGAAGATTGTCACAAGTTCAAGGCTAGCCTGGGCTATATAGTGAGTTTAAGGTTAGCCTAAACTACATAGTCAGACCCTGTCTCAAAAAACCACCACCACCAATAATAACAATAATCATGAATAGAAAAGTAGGGGGAGATATTCTAATGGGTCTCAATTATGTGGTTTTGTCACCTCTATTAGTCAACATATGTTAACTACTTTGCCTTAATAGTAAAGACAGTATCTGTTATTTCTTTATTTATTTTGCAATACTGAGGATTGAACCCAAAGAATGACGAGCTAGGTCCTCATCTCGTTTTAGTTTATTTTGAGACAGGATCTCACTAAATTGCCCAAACTGGCCTTGACCTTGTGATCCTCCTGCCTCAGCCTCCTGAGTAGCTGGGGTTATAAGGCTCTGCCAGTATACACACCGCCACCATCCTCCCACTCCTATTCATTCTTTTTTGGTTTTGTTTTCTTGACGTGATGCTTATCATGGAGCATGATAATCCATAAGCATTTACTGAATTCACTAATTAATTAACTGATCAGTGAGTTCCTATATCATTTCAGGCTGTGTCGATATACAATAGAAGTAAAGGATCCAGACAATGACCTGAAGAATATACATTAAAAAGGAAGAAGTAAGAAAAGAAAGATGAACCCAAGGTGATCAGATAAACTGAGGTGATCCCATTTGGAGGAGATAGTTTAGAATATAAAGGCATGGAAGTTGTGAAGTGAATCTGATTCACTTGTACAATTGGCTCAAGTGTGATGATTAATTTTGCCAACTTGACTGTGCTAAGAGATACCCAGATCGCTGGTAAAACACTGTGTGTGGGTGTATCTGTGAGGGGGTTCCAGATGACATTACCATTTGAATCCATACTGAGTAAAGAAGACCCTCCTTCACCAATGTGGGTAGGCACCATCCAATCTGTTGAGGGCTTGGGTAGAACACAACAGCAGCAGAGCTGTCTCTCTTTGAGTTGGGACATTCATCTTCTCTTGCCCTTAGACGTCAGATCTCAGTCCTTAGCATCTAAGAATTACACCAGCAGCCTTCTTGTGCCTCTAGCCTGCAGATGGCATGTCTCAGGGACTCTCAGCCTTGATAACTATATAAGGCAAGTCCCATAATACATTTTCTCTTGTATATCTATATATTTCCTATTAGCTCTGTTGCTCTGGAGAACCTTAATATATTTGAGTCTTCATTTCACTTTCTCTGAGAGAAATTCTGGCCCAACTTTATAGATTAAAAACCCAATGTGGCTTCCAAAATGCTAAAGGAAATGAAAAAGTACAATGCCTATTTTATCCATTAGTCAGCTTTAATATCAAATGGCACAACTATTCCTTTTCTGTTCAAAACATCCATGTTATTATTACATTCTAAAGCCGAGGCAAAGATCTGATCTGAAGCATGTTAAATAAGAATATGTACCGTAGCGCATACTCTTTACAGAATTTTTTTCTCCAGCAACTTCTCCACTAAGTTCTCATAGATTTCATATTAATATGAGAAAATATTGAGTTCACCTGATTCTATATATTTGTCTTGAATGAAATAGGAAGAAAACTGTCCATATCGTTAAACAGAATTCAGTATACTATTTCATCTATCAAATTGCAAGTGCATCTATCAAAATTCAACTGCCGAGTTGCTTTGAAATGTATTTAAAAAGCTGAATTGATTGATGGGTCAATGGATAAGTATGTGATGAAGAAAATACAGTAAAATGTCAGTTGTAGAATCTGAGTGGCAGGTACATGGATGTCCACAGAATAATTCTTTCAACTTCTAGTATTTTGAAAATTTTGATAATTCGCCATGATAATCCTGAAGTAGTGGCCACTTGTTATGCCATATGTGTCTGTCAGATCTCCCTCTCCCTCTTCCTCTCCCTCTCCCCTCCTCCTCCCTCCCCTCTCTCTCCCTGTGTGTGTGTATATATATATATATATATATATCACTTGGGCTCATGAGATCCAGACCAGCCTGCGTAACATAATGAGAAAGAGGATGTGGAGAGAGAGGAGGGGAGAGAAGAAAGGAAAGGAAAAAAAGAGAAAGAAAGAAAAAGAAAGGGAGGAGCAATATTATGAGATTCAGGACTGGGGATGCAGCTCAGTGATAGAGCGCTTGGCCAGCGTACACAAACCCCTGGGTTTGATCCCTAGCACCAATAAATAAATGTTAGCTTCTGAAATGTTGTAACTACCAAATTTAGAGGAAGCAATTGGAAAAAATTATCATAACTACAATAGGAAAAAAACTTAAATTGGGGCCATGGGTAAGGCTTACAAATAATCCCCATAGCGAATTGTATTTCCCCCAAGTGGTCAGAACAATACTTCCATCCCCACATGTCCTTCTTACAGCATGACTTTCAACACCATCCGAATTGAAAGGCGGGGTCTCTATTCCCTCCCCTGAAATCTGAGTGAGCCTGTGACTGTGGTAAAAGCAACGCTGTCTGACTTCTAAAGCTAGATTCCCTAAAGCAGCATAGCTTCCATTGGTTCTTTGGGGATGCTCATTCCTTTTGCTTGTCACTCACTGTAAAGGAGCCCAAGTCATAGTAGAGAACAAAACCTACAGCCCGTCTCAATTTACCAGGACTGTGAATGAGCCACTTTTGGAAGTGTATCTTCCAGCCCAGTCAAGCCACCTCAGCTGATACAGCCTGAAACAGAGATAACCAGCCTGAGCTCAACCCTGCTCACATGGCAGTTCATAATCAAAACAAATGAATAAACAAATGCCGTATGTTAGGGGCAGTTTGTTCCGTAGCAACAGCTACCTGATACAATGCCTAAGACAAAAATCATGTGAATTCACACACACACACTGGTTTCCAAAATCAAGAGAACAACTATGTTACTATTCCAGTAAGAAGTAGAGATTTTAAAACCAGTTGGCATATATCAATAATCCAGCAATTTCACTCAGACTAATTATGTTAGTCTCTCATGTAGGAAACCTTTTCTTCACAAGAATTGCTAGAAAATGCCCAGGTTGGCTTGAGTTCATCAATCCCCAAAGATTAATGAGTGCCTATTATATAGAAAACACTGTACTTATCCCCGTAGGGTTACACAAGGGAGCAGCCAATCATCCTAAGTTATACCCTCCTCATTAGTTCTCCTCCAAAATGCTCATAAACAGACAAATTCAAAAAGTAATCATGAAAACTGAAGGAAAGAAAAATCTATTACATTACTGATTCATAAATGGGACAACTCAGGAAAACATTGCATACACTAGCTAAATAAAAACAAAACATAAGCTTATTTTCTCATTAATTAACTACTAGGGTAAAGTATGTAACTTTGTAGGTAGAATCAATACTTTGTGGGTAGGAGATTTCAAAGTTTATTGTTTATTCACTAGCTTCCAGGCAAAAGAATATCTAATGAGATATGCCAATTAAATTGTTGCAATATCTCAGACTCCTTTGCAAGCTTCATCTACAAGAATACATTTATAGTAGGCAGGTCCAGGCCAGCCTTCACATCACCCCAGGTTTAGTTTCCCCCTACTGAGGTCCTACCATCTCCCTTTCAAAAGTAGTTAAGAACAAAACAAGAAATTCATTAAAGCCAGCCTATGTTATTGTGTCATGTGTAATCTTTCCTGGCAGTCAACATTTTAACAGTGCAGTAGCTGATCAATCAACACCATAGTCTAGTTATAAAAAACCTCTAGTTATAAAAATCCAACGTTCAGTGAGACTGCCAGCAATATTCATACTAGTCAAAGAATGGAAACAACTCAAATATCTATCAGCTGATGAATGAACAAAATCTGACATATCTTTACAATGAAATATTATTTTGTAATTTGTAAATGAAATCCCTTTCTTCCCTTGATGATACTGAGAATCAAACCCAGAGCCTTCCACATGCTAGGTAAATGCTTTTCCACTGAGCTACACCCCAGACCAAGAATAAAATCCTGATACATGCTACAACATGTATCAACCTTCATAACATTATACTAAATGAAGCCAGACACAAAAGACCACATATTATGTGGTCCCATTTTTATGACATATCCATATTGACAAATTCATAGAGACAGAGAATAGATTGGTGGTTGCCTAATCTTGAGGGGAAATGAGTGACCACTGATGGATGTGAGATTTCTTTTTAAAATCCTGTGGAGGAGGAACTGGTGCTGGTGTAATAATAATCTAAACAGGTGTGCTTATTGTTTGTACACTAACAATTCATATCTGTCACGCATTTTTCAGTGTCACAGTAGACATGTGTGTGCACCACCCTGAGCCCTCTTTGATGAAGGGCTTGTTACCCAGCAACTGAGACTCTTTTCAGGAGGTGTCTTAGTTGCAGAGAGCTACCTGGCCCAGGTAATCTGCATCCAGCGATCAACAGATGCAAGTTGACAAACTTCTGGCCATCTTGGCCCAACCCAGGCTGGAGCTCTAGATCTTCCCCGAGTCTGTGGTTGGGCCTACATGGCAGCTGCCCACTCCTGAATCCTTCCCCTTCTTTCCACAGGGGTTGACCCCAAGGGCACTTCCTTGTGTCCATCTTAGAATCTGCCTCCTGGGGAACCCAACCTGTGACAATTCTCATTCTTATTTTATGTTTTCACTATAAATTCATGTCACATTAAATAGACAAAAGGGAACTATTATAGGATGAAATGAGAAATGGGA